GTGTAATTCCTTCCCTTTATCTTTGTTGTTTATACTTCTGTTTTGATTTGCATATTGCAGTTTGAAGGAAATTATTTTAATGTGTCAAACTCTTAGATAAAATGCACATTTTCTAGAATGTTAAATACTTGATAAAAACCAATTTTAAAAATTGAAGAATTTAATTTTAAGGTGGAAAATAGAATTTGTTTCATGCTGCAGCAATTATACAGACATGAAATTGTTCCTTTCTTAGAGGTCCCTGAAAATTCTCCTACTAATACTTTCTTTGCAACCATGAAATTTAGAAAAATCTTAGACTCTCTCTTGGTATGTTTTAGTAATCAAACACAGAAGTTGATAAATGTTCAAATCCTCACTTCGCTTTGAGTCTACTTAATGCTAATTAAAAAGAATCATGACAAATGGAGGATTAGTTCTTGTGCCAGATTGGGGATTATTAGTCTTTAAAAGAAATAGCTTGGAAAGTTTCACTGTTTAATAAATATGTGACATACTGAAGTACCTTAGTCCATATGATAATGATTAAGGTGTAAGTGTTTCTTTAAGATGGCATATATCTTTCCATTAAGAATGCTGGATTTACAGAATCTGCCAATAACCATTCCAGCGTTTTGTTTTAAACACTGGAAAATTGATAGGGGGGAATTCCATGTCATAGGTTCTGCATGATCAAACACTGCAGATCTTGTTGCAGCACTGAAATTTTTGTCTTTTCCTTTTGATTTAAGGTGGAAGGAGAAAGGAGATTGTGTTCACTTTTGTATGAGGCTCGTTCTTAAAAATCTTACTTTTGTGATGTGAAGAGCTGAAATGTAGCTCTTGAACGTTACTTTTCTTTGTTAATAGAATTACTACAACTATTTCAGTATGCTTCAAAATAATCTCAAATCTTGTAGTTAAAAATATATTTCTCATGACAATTCTTAGTGGATTTGAAATTAATGATTGAACAGATTTGTACTCTGCATTCTGCAGTTTTTTGGTATCTTGCAGTAGGTCCCTTAAAAATGAGTTTATATTTTGATATGTGAGATTTTTACTAAACAAAGCCCTGAAACATAATAAAGCGTATGAAGTGGCCTGTTTTTCTTGTATCGGCTGATACTAAGGCAGATAATAAATTGGATGTATGAAATAAACGCTACGTAGAGCTTCTGTAGAATTGGTGGGTGTCTGCTTTTCCTGATAAATAACTAGTTTTTGTCTGTTAAAGTGATTGATAGTGTTGGCAGCGGTTCTGTGCAGTAAAATAGTTGGTTTAATTTGATGGAAATAAAGAAAATTTGATGCTATGTGTGTAAATTGTCGTTAGTTCTGCTGCTTTCCTCAGGATGCTCAGTAAGTATACTGAGTGTGAGCCCCAGCTCACTGTGGAGGAAGCTGATACTCACAGGGAGCTAGAAGGGGCTCAGAGACAATATAAATCAGAACAAGAATTAGAAGTTTACAGCACACAAAGTGGCCCATGTCCTGGTTTTACTGTAGACCTTTTCATATATGTTTTTCTTAAAGCATTGACTTGTGGAGTCATATTGAATTTCAGTTTTTATTAAAAAAAATAACCCGCCTAACTGAATCATGAATCTTCATTATTCACAGAACAGCTAGAAAGTCAGATGGGAGAGTAGTCTGTGAATATAAATAAAAGCAATAGTGGTTTGTCGTAGTTTCTTTATTTTTTAGTCTTTCTTACCACTCTTAGGAATCACAGATCTGAATACTTCAGTTCTAAACACCTATGTATATGTCTCTTGGTAATGCATTCAGAATATGTGTGTTACAATTTTATTTGTGTGATTGAAAAATGTTAGTAATTACTTTAAAAAAAAACAAACTACATCCTCATTGACTTCTCCCCAGCGGTTTTAAAGAGACTTTCAAAAATGCTGTGCTACTATACATTTTGTTTATCGTTTGAATTTCAGTGCTGTTTTGAGTGTCTGAGCCTCTTTTTTATAAACTAAGAGTTCTCTGTAAATAAACTGACTTATCCTGGCACTTTTGAAGGTTTATTTAAGGGTGAGGAGAGTGCAGATTTCCAGCCCAGATGCTGCTTTATTTTTGGTGATAAGGAAGGTGGTTAAAAAAGGAAATTCTAACATCTACTTTTCTCAAATAAGAAAGAAAAAGTGTAGTTTTGAAGAAATACTGTGGGATTTAGTGCAGTTTGGAAGCAAATAAATCTCATCAAATGTATATGTAATTCATTTTACTCCTAAGTACTACCCTCAGAACATGTTAATTATGTGTAATCTTTTTATCCTCATTATTTGATTGTGTTAGATGTTGTGCTTGTTATAGGTAAGCATCAGTTTATGTTTGTGACTAGAACTAGTTGTTGCTTTTCCTAAATTCATGTCTTGAGGTTACAGTGATTTACGTTACTTGGGAGCGCTGTGGTTAAGAAATAAAGCAACGATGGGGAAAATCTGTTTCCGGACTCTTGGAGGACTGACTTGCATGCGATTGAAGGAGTTGCATTAGGAATGAAAAAGGAGGGTGGCTTATGTAGACTGTTCCTGTTTGCCATTGCAAATTAAGTTGTCAGAGACATTGGCTGATTTTATATGTTAAACAGATGATTTCAGTTCTCAAGCGGTTTAGTTTTGATCAATTCAGTCTCTTGATTGTTTTTTCTTTAAATTGTGAAAATAACGACTGGATTTTTAATCCAAAAGCTACATTTTAAAGTAGGTAGTCTGTCATCTGCAAAAATAGCTTCTGTCTTCGTAAGCCGTAATTGCATGATGCGCTCCTTTGGCTGTGCACGCTGTTATCCCCACTTTCCCTTCTTTCAGTTTTCGGGCTCAGTGAGCAGGTCACTGGGCTGTGTATAATATCAGCCTTGGGTAATGAGTTTAACACTGCCCTGGTGTTCCCACCATAGCAAGGGTGCTGACCTGCTTTATGAAATGCTTTGAGACCTCTTCATAAAATCTGATAGAGAGCAATGGCAATGTTTGTTCGAGTTTTGTTTTGTTTTGTTTTGTTTTATTTAGTGGTAGTAGCAGTAGTACGGTGAGCCTGCGGGATCATTCTTTTTATATTAAAAAAAAAAAGAAAGTTTAACTGTGCTGTTACCTTTATTTTAAAAACTCAAAAATAAAATAATCACTGTGTATTATTGTTATAGTGACAAATGCGGTCAGCCGTTAAAATTTCCAGAGTTAGTTATGGCTTTTAGCCAGACGTCTCCCAGTAAAAGCAGAATGATGAATGTAACTTCACAGGTTGCAGTTTGACAAAGAAACAGTGGAAAACAGAATGACTGTGGGTAAACCCACCACATTGCCTGTGTCCTAATTTGTCTCTTGCTCTTTCTGATGAATTTTCTCTCTGCGTGTTCCTTGTGTTTAGCAGAAGAGTGAAATATTTTTTCCTCACTTGAGTCATTTTCACTGAATATTCATTGATAATATGTTTGTGCGGGAGGTGAAGGGGATGAACTCAAAGGAAAGAATAAAGCTTTCTAGCTATGCTCTTCTGGTAGCTTGAACTAGTTTACTTAAATTATGCACTCTCTTCTTCCAGAACCAAGAAATTTGTTCGAATGATCAAAGGATAAGAAATTATTTTTAAAAATAACGATGTTTGAAATACCGTAAAAATACAAGAACTCCTTCTGGGTGTAGGTGACTGTGACCTTAGGAAGGTACATCATGAACAAACTCATTTCAGAGCTATCTTCAATTCAGAGATTAAAATCGTTTAAGGTTTTGTTGAAGAGTTGTCCATTCCTGTGCTGTCAAGGCTTCTGTAAGGTGGTGCTCAGTCGTGTAACCTCTTTATAAGATATGAAATAGGGTGAGAGCTACGAGGGGAATAAGCAGTGGGACTTCGCTACCAGAAAAGTGTGCTTTTTTTTTTTCATTAATATTATCTCACGGAGAAATGGCATGTAGGGGGGTGTGTGTACATACAGACATATCATGCACACCGGACCATCTGTCTTCTCATGTCTGACTACAGTGGTTGTGATCACCAGGAGAACAGGGGTTATAGACAAGGCAGGAGGCTGATAGCGTTTGTTCTTTGAGGCATGTTGCACTGGAATTTGGTTTTACTTTTATTCTGTCGGATTCCCGACAGAATGGTGGGGAGGTGGGGGAAGGGCTCTTTACATTAGTGTTGGGTGATAGAACAAGAGGAAATGGGTATAAGCTTAGTCAGGGGAGATTCAGGTTGGATGTTAGGAAGTATTTCTTCTCTGAAAGGGTTGTCAGCCACTGGAATAGGTTGCCCAGGGAGGTGGTTGAGTCCCCATCCCTGGATGTGTTTAAGAATAGGGTGGATGATCTACTTGAGGATATGGTTTAATGGGGATTAGGGATGGTTGGACTCGATGATCTAAGGTCTTTTCCAACCTAGAAATCTATGAAATCTATGAAATCTATGAAATCTATGAAATCCCGGTCTGGTGACTTTCAGGCTGGGTGAAGTGTAGTGCTGTTTGCTCCAAACTCTGTCAGACTGCTGGGAAGGTGTCCTTTGTTTTGAATTACACCTCAAGTGTATCTTGATTCTCAGTTCCTAGAGGTCTGAAAACTGCTTTTAGAGAACTGTAACCAACATACTTCAGAAACTGGAATATTGGATTGAAGTACAGAATAATCAAGTGTTAAAATTCTGTGTTTCTTTTCTCCTGGTGGTCTGTAACAACTGTTATGGAGTTCAAAATTTAAATACATTATTATTCATATAAATCATTCTCGTTTGTATTTAAATATATTTTTCACCCACATAACAAAGTATTGCTCAGTTTTGCCATTAAAATGGCTATTTTGTGTTCCCTTTATGTTGAAGAACCTACTTTGCACTCTAAGAACGACGAGAAACTTGTTTATGAAATTGATGTGTATTCAATGTTAATTAAAGATGGCATTCAGCACTCCAACAAGAATCTTTAAAAGTGACTGAAAGCCATGTTTTTACAGTGGCAACCAAGATGCATCTGTAGGATTCTCCTAAGACTCAGTCACCACCTCTCCTCTATAGTCATGGATCTTGTGAATGACAAGGTGGGGGTCTTTGAAATGGCTGAAGATTAGCATCCCCTGCTGTTTTGTAATTATCAGAATCTGGACAGTCATTTATTTGAATGAAATAATGCATACAGTTTGTGCCTCCAAAGAAAAGCATACATCATGTGATTGTAAGCAGAGGTTTTCAGTCTCTCAGTGGGATGTCATAGGGTATGTTTATAAACTTCAACCTAGCAGTTGCTCTGCAGTGGAATTCCACTGGTATTGAGATAATAATTTGCACAGTCAAATTGCTTTCTTTACAAAAACCCAGGGAATTATGAGACCCTAATCCTTTATTAATGTCAACCCATAGGCAGCAAGAAAGCGTAAGATTGCCATTCGAAAAGCCCAGGGGAAAAATCTTGAGGCCATCCGAGAGCTGAATGAGTATCTGGAACAGTGAGTGTCTTACAAGAATACAGATTGTGTTTTGCTATTCCAGTAAATCTTTTTAATTAAAATGGAATTTGCATTTGATTTACGCTTTTGCTTCCGTGCTGATCATTTGCAGAATCCCTTGAACATTCTTTCTTTTTTCCCTTTTTTCCTCTTTTGTCTTCTCTATACAGATTTGTTGGAGACCAAGAAGCTTGGCATGAACTTGCAGAACTTTACATCAATGAACATGAGTAAGTTGTTTGCAAAGTCCACATAAAAACTGTTAAATTGAAACCTACTCTGTGTAAGTCAAAGATCTGAGTGATTTTTTTTTTTTTAAGGACTAGTGTTAGAAAGTATGCTGTCTCGTTTCCAATACAACAAGCGTCAAAATGAAATAATAACCGACCTTACTTGACTACCAAATGCTTTAAGAAAGGCATTTGTTTTTAAAACAGAAACAGTTTATTAATTACCTGTATGTTTCCGTTATTTTTTTAAATCAGATATTTTAAGAGAAGTGGTTTAAGTGTAGCAGGGAACAGCACTTATTTCCCATGATTTTTCATTGAAGTGATGTTTTTTACTAGTTATAAATTTTAAATTCTTTACTTCTAAAATCAGTTGAGCACGACAACTGATATTCTGATTTTCTTCTAGCCTACCTCTGCAAGAACTTTTATTAACCTTTAAAAAAAACAAACAAAACAAAACATGGATCCAGAGTTAGAGGCATCTGGTCGCCTGGGTACAAAACCCAATGCAATCAAGAATGCTGAGTGTTGTAGTAACTTGCTTATTGGATATTTAATGTTTTTGTTAGGTTTTTTTTTATTGCTTTAGTGACAGGAGGAAATCCCAGTGTGAGAGGATTAGCTCAAAGCCTTAGTGCAAGTTTTCTAATATCACAGCATTAATTCTAACCTCCACCCAAAGGCGTATCTTTTTTCCCTCTTCTTTAGTTCTTCAGCCCAGCCTGAATTATATCACATTGTTTCCTTCCTTCCTTTCTAGAGAGTAGTAAAAGAGTCAAATTCTCAAGGAAGAAATAGTCATTCTCACTGTGATGAAAAAATTGTTCCCCCATCACCTCTCCTTCCATTTCGTTCTCAAAATAATTATTAAACTCTTCGAAATGCTGACTTAAGGAATAATCTAGAATTTTGATATCCAGATTTCCATTTGTTTTGGGATATTTGCCAGCCACTTTTCCAAGAAAATAGCTTTTTTATAAAAAAAAAAAAGGTTAGAAAGATATTTAAGCTTGTCAAATCTGTCGGTACAAAAGTGATGATAGCGTGATGCAAACATACGTATTCCATTACTGGTGGGGTTTTTTGCTATAATCTTTATTACAAAATTGTGTAATAAAACCTGAGAAAGAAATTGCTTTTGCTTGTATTTTTCTTGGTCTGTAATTCCAATAAAATATAATATGTAGAACTTTCTCCAGTTCATTGAAAAAATTGCCTGTGCTCACTGTACTTTTATGAGCGTCATTATTATTACTATTTTGATGATTAAATGGGGAAAAAAACCAAAATCTTGGCTAAAAAGCAACTGAAAGTTAATTTTAAAAAAAGGAAACAATTAATCAGCTTATTTGTTTTATCGATGTCACAAATTTAGTCTCACCTGGGAAGTCACCATGCTGTTACCATTGTTCATTAACACACCTAGATGTACGAGGTTTATATAGTCCTCAGTTCTGCACTGTGTTCCATTGCGAGGAGTGTGGCCTCTGCTTCTGGAGAATGAGGTGGCCATCCTTTTATCTGCAAATTAATGTTTGAAATACTTAAGCAACTATCATAACGTGCAGAAAACCACAACATACTCATTTTAAGAAATAAGGTTTTACAGATTATATGGTTTAAAATTGTCTCATAATTGCTAAATTGCTTTTACTCTGATATAAATATCTACCCACACTGTCATTGTAAGCATTCCAAAGTCTCTGAATTTTGGAATCCTATCATGTGAACTCTGTGCAACAGTGCAATCACATATCTCTAGAAGATGCAAATTCTGCAGGAAACCCTGTTAGTTTAAAGATTGTGAAGCTGATTTGTGTAATTAAATAAGCCTACATTTTGAGTTTGACTTCTCAATTCTTTCTGAAAGCTTTCATTTAAAGAACAAGTACTAGCCTTTTCTTTTTCAATAACAAGTTTTTGCCCATTTGGACTAGTATGATGCTATTTTTGCGTATAGATTGGAACTGTTAAGATTTTTAGAACTGTTCTTAGTATGTGTTTTTGATCTCACTTCTGTGGTTGACTGAGCAGATAAAGTTAACTGACAGTGTAAGTGCTTTGGTCTGTAGCTTGGTTTGTGAATCCTCAGGTAGCTGAGTTTTCTTGTAGAAAAAAATGGACTGTTTTGTAGTCTGAGTTAAATGTCTTTATAGTACCTAGTGCCTGTTTCTACTCATCACTTCTGTTGATAAGAAATGACACTTATTAATGAGTATATTAAGTGCTTTCCATGAGCTGTTCCATATATACCTAGACCATTAAATGTTATATATTTTTTCGCTATGATGTAAAAATAAGTAGCATGAGGTTTCAAGCATCATTTAAAAATAAAACTTTTTTCTCAATGGTGAATAATTTGAAGTTGTGGGGAGGAAAGTAAGACTTCTTTTATTGTTCTGTAAAGAAGCTGAAACAAAGAGCTGTATACACTTGTTTCATTTGTCACTGTTTTTTATACTCCTCAGCTATGCAAAGGCAGCCTTCTGCTTAGAGGAGCTTATGATGACTAATCCACACAACCATTTATATTGTCAGCAATATGCTGAAGTAAGTATTTTCAGAAAAATCAATTCTATTTGGATACATATTCTGGTTTTATGTTACTGAAGTGGTGAAAAATGGAATAAAAGTGGTTTCTTTAATTTTTCCCAGGGAGATTTAAGAGAGTACACAGAGAATGTTAACATCTCGTAGAGCTTAACATGTTAAGAAAACTGTGCTTTGTTACTCGGTGTGACTAAGCTAAATGTAGGAGTAAGGGCAGGAATTATTAAAGATAAAAATTTGTTTTTAAAGGAGCTATTCTTGTTGAAGTGTTTATGCACTTTTCAAATTAAGTGCATGAGAAGTTAAACTTTTCCACAACAATGCTGTCTAGGAGGTTCTGATATATTGCCTGTTATTGTGGAGCCAGATCTGGAAATCCACAAAGAAAGTTTTGCCTGAAAGAGCACTGCGAGGAGGGGGGGCCCTTGGAAGTTTTAGCTCAAGGTTTTTAGCTTTTTACACCCTTTTTTCAGATGTATATTATTTTTTTCCTAAATTATACTGTTAACTGCTTAGAATTGATTTAATTTAATTTATTTTGTTAATGTGAATAAAATTAAATTAACATTAGAACTTAAAAATCTAAATAGCTTTCTGGTAGAAAGACTGTGAAGCATGTCTTCTAGTATTTGTCTCTGTTGATCTAATAACAGGCAAAATGAATAAAAAAACAATGGAGTAATCTTCTAAACATTGTGCACTATTTTGCAGTTGTATAGATAATGAAAGGCATTGTATCGTTTTGTGTACTGTTGTAATGCTGTGCTGAAGAAGTATAGAGTTAGTATGGATTTATGGCAGTCAGAATTTAGCTTTAGATTTTTAGGTTCTGTTACTTTTTCGTAAGAGATGATCTCAATGTTCTAAGTATATATAGGACTAATGGCTTTAAACTGTAAGAGGGGAGATTTAGATTAGCTCTAAGGAAGAAATTCTTCACTCTGAGGGTGGTGAGGCACTGGAACAGTTTGGCCAGAGGAGCTGTGGATGCCTCATCCTTGGAGGTGTTCAAGGCCAGGTTAGATGAGGCTTTGAGCAACCTGATGTAATGGAAAGTGTCCCTACCCAATGGCAGGGGGGTTGGAACTAGGTGATCTTTAAGGTGCTTTCCAACCCATGGCTTTAAACTGAAAGAGGGCAGAGTTAGGTTAGATATAAGAAAGAAATTCTTTACATTGAGGGCGGTGAGGTACTGGAACAGGTTGCCCAGAGAAGTTGTGGATGCTCCATCCCTGGAGGTGTTCAAGGCCAGGTTGGATGAGGCTTTGGGCAACCTGGTGTAGTGGAGGATTTCCCTGCCCATGGCAGGGGGTTGGAACTAGATGATCTTTGAGGTCCCTTCCAACCCTAACCATTCTATGATTCTATGATTCTATAGGTGAAAAATAATCACTTTTTATTCTTGTAGCAATAAATTAATTAAATTAATGCTGACTTTTTTTCTCCTATAGTTAAATATTTTAAAATTTCTATATTGAAATGAGCTTGGATTTCTCCCAAGCCAGTATTTGGCCTTTGATAGGACTCGCCTGATTTGAAATACTGTGTGAAACAAACCTGAAAGGCAGTTTCATAATATGTTTGCTTCAAGAGTGAATGCCTGAGGTATGGATGACGTGCAATTCTTAGGAGCTTGTAATTTTTACAGATTAAATACACTCAAGGGGGGCTTGAAAACCTTGAACTATCAAGGAAGTATTTTGCACAAGCGCTGAAGCTTAACAACAGAAATATGAGAGCTTTGTTTGGACTTTACATGGTAAGCATGATTATATCTTTTTCATGTTATCATTTTGAATGTGTTTTTATGCATATATATTATCCTTTACGATTTTCTATTTTTTTGTGTGGATTTTTTCTTTTGGTTTAACTTAATAGCTCAGATTATCAACACTATTTTTAAATACAGAGTATGGACAATTTTATGCCAGTAAGTACTCCTTACATGAAATTCTTTTAACCTTTAAGTCTTGCCTGCGTTTTTTCAAAGAATTACAATTATTGACACATGAAGGTAACTTCTTGAAAAAGCATTGAAGTCATACTCCTCTCTGTGGGATGGTGAGCTGCTGAAGAGTACCAGCATAGTATGACGGCTTCTTTTTTTCCTTTTTTTTTTTTATTTTTTAACCAGCCTGCATTTTTTTATTTGTTTTCTTGCTCACTCCAGTTTCTAAATACAATTTTTTAATTTGCATTTCAAAATTAGTCTTTAGCTTGAGCGTGTCCATTACTACAGTAACTGCAGGTCGCACGTACTGGCAGCAATTCTTCAGTTTCTCCAAAGGTATGGAGGCCTCTATTGAAGATCTTCCTTTAGATCTTAAATCTTAGATCTTTTAAAAAAATCTCTTTAGATCTGGACTAAACCAGAAAGGTTCCATATATTTAAAAAAAAAAAAAAATTCTAGGCCACCTTTTTGTCTCTTGGGAGGGGCAGTTTACAGAAATGCATCAGGCAGGTAACTTTGAGACTTCCTATAAATACCAGGCAATAGACACTTCCTTTCAAGGACTTGTTAGGCATCGCCTTTAAGACTCAAAGAGACTTGTATCTAATCTTCTTAGCCCATCTGCAGAGATTCTTGGGTTGGTGATTGTATGTTCAAGGAGGAGAAAGGACTGGCTCCTTGCTGTTCCTTAGGTCATTTAGCTTTTTAGGAGTAAGTTTTGTAGCACATCTGTTCGTTGGCTTAAACTGATTTTTAAGGTGTGTATACATCAGACATCTGCATTGATTCTGAAACAGGCCTGAGGGTTTATTATGGCCAGTCTTGGCTTGTCCTCTATCAAATCTTACATCCTGCCTGTTATTTTTTTTCAGTCTGTAAAGTAGAATTAGAGCCTGTTACCTATGATCATCTAGCTGGCAACCTTGAGCTAATATGACCCAAGCATTTGAGAAACTTTTTGATTTGGCAGTGCCTGAAAGTCACACACAATAACTCTGATTTGCATAATGCAAGTTCCTTGCTGCAAAAAATGCATGTATGGTGTGCTTCAGTTCCTCAGTTTTGCTCGGCTGGCTGCTGCCACGTTTCACTAGATGGTTTTTGCAAGCACAGCTTGCCATCGCTGCCTCTGTATCTACCCTTTGGCTCCTAATTTCTTTGCAATGCTGTTTCCAGGCTTTAGGATCTGGTCCTGCTGTGGCTGCTGCTTTTGTACTTGACAGACATGCCTAGTGTTTGTAGTCCCCAAAGAACGTCCATAACTCTGGTAAATTCTCCACAAAGGCTTTCAGCCATATCTGCTGAGGAAACTGGTCAGTACTTCATCGAATTCAGGAAACCAGAGAGAATGATGCCTCATTGTAGGACCCTGACCCTGTACTAGATCACAAATTCAGTTCATGCAGGCGTGACTTCAGAGAATGCTTTCCTGCATTTGTGAAGGCTGCTTCTTTGACAATCCCACTCTCCTCCCACTTTTGGAGGTAGTTTCAGGAAGGAAGGGAACATTCTTTGAGTTTGAAGTGTAGCATGGAGGTGTTTGCTTCCCCGCTCCTTTTTAAAGCCTTCTCTGGAGGATCTTCATTGATGGGTGAGAGTAAGGTTCTGTGGTTCTTTGCATTCAAGTACTTTTGCACTCATAAAGATGTTCTGGGAGGGAGTAGCAATGATTCTCTGTGAAGTGGACTTATTTATATAAGTGGAAAAGTCTCTGAGATGAGTTTCATTCTTAAATAATATTTTTTATTTTTTCAGGTGAAGATGGGCATAGTTTATTTGTTTTCTGATGCCACAGGAAAAAATGTCATGTTTTTAGTGGCAGTTTGGACATCCAAGTGATGTGTGTTTTATATCAACTCTTGTAACAAATAGAATGGGGAAAACTAATAATAACTCTCACTTTAGGAAAAGCTGATCATATCCAGGTTTGATTCCTAACTCAGTACAGCACTGAACTGAAGTCTAGTTTAGCTTTAATTAGAAAAAAAAAAAAACAAAAGTTTAGCTAATTCTTAGTTGGATGCTATTTACCAGTAACTGTTTTTATTTTTTCTGTTTTTCCACTATCACTGTGCGTGGGCCTCTGAATGCAAAGGTGTTGAACGCTCTCAGTTTATTTCATGCATATGTATTTTATAGTGACACTATTTTTGTTTTTGTATTCCTAGTCTGCCAGTCATATTGCTTCCAATCCAAAAGCAAGTGCAAAAATGAAAAAAGATAATATGAAGTATGCCAGCTGGGCAGCTAACCAAATAAATAGAGCATACCAGGTTAGTACATCATTCTTTTACGATACTCTTAAAGAACATGTTCTTTTCTGCACTTCTGTTGACTGCTGTTCAAGAGGTTAGATGCGACATTTAAATCAGCATAATTTGCTTGGATTTTTTGCCTTCTGCTTCTGTTTGATTCCCTTGAGCCCTTAATTAATACAATGTTGATCTTTTACAGTTATTGATTAGTATTCTTTACTTATTAGCTTTGAACAGATTTTTTTTCTACTAGCATTAGCCAAATGTGCACTAGTGTAATGTTGACCTCCAAGACTCGGTTCTGCAGCTAAGTATTTTAATAAAACTTGATGTATCTTAATTCCTACAGTCACTTGGTCATCTACTTCTGTTTTACTAGAAAACAAACTGAAATTCTAGAATTTTGTTTTCCTTTAGTTTATTCTGACCTTTCAAAATCATATTTAATGGTGTTCCTAATAATTACCTTAGTAATTGTGAGTGAAGTTGGTTTTGTGTAGTTTTGTAGAAAAATGCCCATTGAATTGTGAAAATGTAGATTTTGTAGGCCATAATCAAAGCTTACTGAAGTCATTAGGAGGCTTTTCAGCTATTTGAAAAGTTATGCATAAATACCTGTATTTGCCTTTGTATTGTAAGCCTTTATGACGTAAAACAAGTCTTGGCTGTGGAATGGTGGCATACCAAGATTAAGGCCTAGAAATAGGCATCTCATGGTTCTAAATATAATGAAAGCTTAATTATGACAGTTTGTAGTTACTTGACTCACAGCCAGATAAACTTGCCTTTTTTTTTTCTTTTTTCCTGTCCACATGGCTTTCTGTTAACGTCACATTATCTTTAATAAAATATGACTTACATTGGGAGTGGTGGTAGTGTTGCGGGAGGTTCTTGGGGTGTGAAGTTTTTTTGGTGGTTTGGTTTTGTTTGGTGGTGTTTTTTTTTCACTGGAAGGTGCAGTTTCACTCTTTCTGTGAAGCTCTTTTGGATCCTACGTTAAGCATTTTTGGTTAATGCTTACCAGAACAGATCACGTTAACACAACTAACATATATTTAAAACGCACATCATAATTTCTTTGTGACTTCATACTTTTGTGGTATGTTGCATACTTCAGCTGCTCTTTTTAGCTGCTTGGGACATGAAGTGATGAGTGCTCTATCTGACTGGAGTGGTAAGGGGGAATTTAGCTATACAGAAAACATAAGTGCTGAAGCTAGCGTTTGGTGAGCAAATGGCGTGAACACCCCTTTCCTCTTCACAGAAGTACCACAAGAAGCTGTAGTGACTGGAGTTGGACAGGACTGCCCCAGCCCAGCCCTGCTGAGCTTGTTACATGGCTGCAGAAGGGTTTGGCCACTCCAGTGTGTGTCACAGGCTTACAACATCCAGCTGCTACAGCAAATAGTGTTTGGTGATGTAGTAGGTGGCAGTTTCCCCTATGAGTCAGTATTGATTTGTTGCTCCCTCAGCATGTTGAACGGTTGGAAATTGTCATCTTTTGGACCTAAGCATGAAACCTTGGTTGCTTGTGCCAGTGGAAGCCCTTAGAGCGTTCTTCCATTAGTGGAAGGTTGCCTAGCCAGGTTTTAAGCTAGATACTTATATTACGTCTATAAATCCTCCCCACTTTCCTTGCATTATCCGAAGCGCTTTGTGAAGTGTAATAAGAGCCTTAAGAGCCTGTTGAGTTTGGCATTGACTTATTTTATTGGTTGGACCTTCTTATACTGTTAAAGGTGATTTTTCCTGTGGTCATGTTCTAGAGAATAAGATGCATTTAGAATCCTAACTTGGGTGCCTAGACAGATTATACGAATTTGTAACTTTAAAATATGAAATTACTAATTCAAAAAGTTACTTTCGAACAATTGTCTTCAGTGAGATCTTTCCCCATTTTCAGTCTGGATTTGAACTTGAATTACCAGCAGTTTGAGAGAGCTGGCGGATGTCATTGCCAAACCCCTGTCCATTATCTTTGGACAGTCTTGGCTCACTGGGGAAGTTCCGCTGGACTGGAGGCTGGCGGATGTTACCCCCATTTACAAAAAAGGGCGGAAGGAGGATCCGGGGAACTACAGGCCTGTCAGTTTGACCTCGGTAATGGGCAAAGTCATGGAACAGGTTATCTTGAGTGCTATTAATGAGCACATACAGGTTAACCGGGTGATCAGGCCCAGTCAACATGGGTTTATGAAAGGCAGGTCTTGCCAATCAAACCTGATCACCTTCTATGACAGGGTGACCCGCCTGGTTGACGAGGGAAGGGCTGTGGATGTAGTTTTCCTTGACCTCAGTAAAGCCTTTGATACAGTCTCTCATAATGTTCTGGTTGAGAAACTGGTAACTGCTGGCCTGGATAGGCACACCCTCCTTTGGGTTAAAAACTGGCTGGATGGCCGGGCCCAAAGAGTGGTGGTAAATGGGGCTAAATCCGTCTGGAGGCCGGTCACCAGTGGGGTTCCCCAGGGCTCAGTGCTGGGTCCAGTTCTGTTTAACATCTTTATCAATGACCTGGATGAGGGGATTGAATGCACCCTCAGTAAATTTGCGGACGACACCAAGGTGGGAGGCTGTGTCGATCTGCTTGAGGGTAGGGAGGCCCTTCAGAGGGATTTGAACAGACTGGATCGTTGGGCAATGGCAATCATGCCAATGGCATGAGCTTTAATAAGGCCAAGTGCTGAGTCCTTCACTTGGGGTATAAAAACCCCAAGCATCGCTATAGGCTCGGGGAAGAGTGGCTGGAGAGCTGCCTAGTGGAGAAGGACCTGGGGGTATTGGTTGACTACCGGCTTGATGTGAGCCAGCAGTGTGCCCAGGTGGCCAAAAAGGCCAATGGGATACTGGCGTGTATCAAGAATAGTGTGACCAGCAGGAGCAGGGAAGTGATCCTGCCCCTGTACTCGGCACTGGTGAGGCCGCACCTGGAATATTGTGTCCAGTTTTGGGCCCCTCGCTTTAAGAGAGATATTGAGCTCCTGGAGCGGGTCCAGAGAAGGGCGACTAAACTGGTCAAGGGGATGGAAAATAAAACTTATGAGGAGAGGCTGAGGGAGTTGGGGCTGTTTAGCCTGGAGAAGAGGAGGCTGAGGGGAGACCTGATTACGGCCTATAAATACTTGAGAAAAGATGGTGGGGAGGTAGCGAAAGGGCTCTTTACATTAGTGATGGGAGATAGAACAAGAGGAAATGGGCATAAGCTTAGTCAGGGGAGATTCAGGTGTGATGTTAGGAAGTATTTCTTCTCTGAAAGGGTTGTCAGCCACTGGAATAGGCTGCCCAGGGAGGTGGTTGAGTCCCCATCCCTGGATGTGTTTAAGAATAGGGTGGATGAGCTACTTGAGGATATGGTTTAATGGGGATTAGGGATGGTTGGACTCGATGATCTCTAAGGTCTTTTCCAACCTAGAAATCTATGAAATCTATGAGTAATTTTGGAAAACTGCCTTTATTTTTTCAAATTGAGCACTGGCTATAGTTGCATTTTATTTTTTTCATATGCAGTTTATTTGAAATCTTTTCACTGGTCCCCTTCTTTCAATCTATTCTCTCATTCAGGCAGTTTGCTTTGGCACTTGATTTTTGCTTTTCCTGAGTGTTCTTTTATGAAATCAGAGGAACTTTTTAGTTTATTGTTATTTAAAGAAAACAATCTTTTGATGTAAAAAGAAAATCTTACTTTCACCACTGTTGGTTAGATTGTACAGCAGTTTCATTACAGGAAAATATGGTGATAAAGAATAGTTGAATTAAATAATTTTAATTCAAAAAAAGGTCAAACTTAAATTCAAAGCACAGGTCTTTGATGCTCCATCTGGTCAGTATACTGATTTTGATGTTAAATATGTAACCCTCTGTGCTGGTTGGTTAGTCCTTCTCATCTGTGCCTAATCTAGGAGAAATGTAAACTTTTGAAGGAAGACAGAAAGTTTTTGTAGCTAGGGCTGCTGCATGGAGCTGGAATTCCTGGCTGCTAACACATGCTCTGAAAAAAAAAGGTCATTATTCTCTAGGCCACTTAAATTTAATTGACCCGGTGAATAAAATAAAAAAACAAACAAATAAAATTTAATCTTTAATTTCAGATGCTAGAGAAGTACTTATTATTCAAATAATTATTATAAGTTTATTATGATTATAAGTTTAGTTTTGCCTTATCACTGAGAAGGGAAACTGGATTATTCTGTCTGTGCAGACCCTGTTAAGAACGTGTGTCTGTTCTGACCGAGGACATGAGTCACAGTTACTTTAACATCGAAACAAAATATGGCAACCTAGTGCTCTTCAATTAGGTAATTGGTTTAGCATGTCCTCTGGTAGAAGCGTTTCAGCAGAGGCAGGCAAGTTTGATTAATGCTCACAAAAATCTTTAATGTGATCCTACTCGTAGTAATTTTCCAGATACATGCTTCCCGGGTACATTGCTAAATTCTTCTGTGTTAGCAATCCACATGTTATTTATGGTTGGAGAGGTGATTTTGTTACAAACCATTTGGGAAACAGAAAATTAAATCATGATTTTAAGAAATGGATTCCGGCTCAATCAGTCAAATTACTGTGTAATGACAGAATAGACAAAATAATTGTTCGTCAGGGCAAATTTGAAGTGATTACATTTCCAAGTATACTTCTGTTTGTTATGACGCAGAGTTTGGTTTTATTTGTTCAGCTTAAAGTAGACGTCAGTATCATGAAGGCAACC